TTGCTTCCCCTCTCTTCTTATCTCTCATCTCTCCCTCTCCAGTTGCTTCCCTTCTCTTCTTATCTCTCCTCTCTCCTTCTTCTCTCCTTCTCTCTACTTCTTTCCATCTCTCTCCTTTTCCTCTCCTATCTCTCTCTCCCTTTCTCTTTTCTTCTTCTCTTCTCCGTCCCTCTCCAGTTCCATCCGCTCTCTTCTTATCTCTCCATCTCCTCTCTTTCTTCTCTCCTTCTTCTCTCCCTCTCTCTCATGTCTGGTGTTCTGCTACCGCTTGGCAGTGCCTCCAGTTGCTCCCACTGATGACGCGCTGTCTGTACAGATGCTGCTGACATCTGGATCCCATTCTACACTGGAGCTTCCCTTTCTCCATTTCCATCTCTGATTTTTCTAAGGGAATCCCGGAGCCTCTCACCCTGAACATTAGATCCCACACTCACCTGGTTGGGAGTGTCAGCTCTGAGCTCAGTACCTGTCTCAGAGACCCCCATATAGAGCTGGATGTATAGCACTGGGCTGCGCCTGAGCTTTATGGGCTACATGGGGATTCTGCTATAAAGAGCACCTGTCATAAGAGTGCTATGGGTTTTTTTTTTATTATTATTATTATATGGGATTTATATTGCGCCAACAGTTTGCTCACCACTTTACAAAATGAAGGTAGACATTACAGTTAAAATACAAATTGGTAAAAGAGGAAACAGAGGGCCCTGATCCTCAGAGCTTACAATCTAAGAGGATTTTTAGGTGTATGTATGACAAGTATCAGCCATAGACATCAGGTCACTTGCTCACACACGTGTGTTTCTGGTGAGATGCGGATGAGTGTTTTCATTGTATGTGGGTTTTGCATTCTATTGTTTTGCTGTAAACTGATCAGGATGCAGCAAACAGGACTTTCTACAGGCAGATGTGGTGCCTTAACCTTCAGCCAGTCTTTATGTAAAATGAACTCCACTGTTTTCTTAAAGCCCAACACCGGCAACTAAAAAATGATCCCTTGCAGTGGATCTGCATCTGTATTGCAAGGGTTAATTACATGTTTTGTCTATGGGAGAAAGGGAAACAGTTTTTCTTACCTGATCCTCCGCAGACAGTGCTCCACCATGTTCCAGCAGTGGACTGTCCCTCTGGGTCACTGTATCTAATACAGGGCTATGGAACCTGCTTTGGCCTTGTTGACATCAGGACCCTAGACCGCTAGAGCATGGGGGACAAGAAGCTGCAGGGACTGGCCTTGCTGTGGGGAGGAGCAGAGGATCAGGTAAGTAAATCATCTTTTTTTGTTCTCCTAGATCGGTAGTCTCCAAACTGCAGCTCGGGGGCGGATGTGGCCCATTGCTTGCTTTTACCTGGCCCTTGGGGCAATATTTTATCCACTGTTACCAACAAGGGGGCATTATTCCCCCTGCTGACACCAACGAAGTGGGACAATTCCTCTCACTAACACAAAAGATAGGAAACTATTCCTCCCAATGATGCCAATGATGGAGGAAAATTCCTCTCACTGACTCCAAAGATAGGGAACTATTCCTCCCAAAGACACCAACAATGGGGCATGATTCTTCCCAAAGACACCAACAATGGGGCACAATTCCTCTCACTGACACCAGAGATAGGGAACTATTCCTCCCAAAGACACCAACAATGGGGTATGATTCCTCCCAAAGACACCAACGATGGGGCACAATTCCTCTCACTGACTCCAAAGACAGGGAACTATTCCTCCAAAAGACCCTAACAATAGGGCATGATTCTTCCCAAAGATACCAACGATGGGGCACAATTCCTCTCACTGATGTTGTTCATAGATATATATATATATATATATATATATATATATAACAAATATGAGTAAATGTACTGTATATACATTCATGTATGTGAAGTTGGCGTTCATAGTGGGCCAGATGAACTACATATTTTATATATATATATATATATATAGTTATATCTATGATCCACACATTTTATATGCCTACAACTGACACCAAAGATAGGGAACTATTCCTTCCAAAGACACCAACAATGGGGTATGATTCTTCCCAAAGACACCAACGATGGGGTACAAATTCTCTCACTGACTCCAAAGATTGGGAATTATTCCTTCCAAAGACACCAACAATGGGGTATGACCCCTCCCAAAGACACCAACAATGGGGCACAATTCCTCTCACTGACTCCAAAGATTGGGAACTATTCCTTTCAAAGACACCAACAATGGGGTATGATTCCTCCCAAAGACACCAACAATGGGGCACAATTCTTCTCACTGACACCAAAGATAGGGAACTATTCCTCCCAAAGACACCAACGATGGGGCATGATTCTTCCCAAAGACACCAACGATGGGGTACAAATCCTCTCACTGACTCCAAAGATTGGGAACTATTCCTTCCAAAGACACCAACAATGGGGTATGATTCTCCCAAAGACACCAACAATGGGGCACAATTCCTCTCACTGACTCCAAAGATTGGGAACTATTCCTTCCAAAGACACCAACAATGGGGTATGTTTCCTCCCAAAGACACCAACAATGGGGCACAATTCCTCTCACTGACTCCAAAGATAGGGAACTATTCCTTCCAAAGACACCAACAATGGGGTATGACCCCTCCCAAAGACACCAACAATGGGGCACAATTCCTCTCACTGACTCCAAAGATAGGGAACTATTCCTCCCAAAAGACATCAACAATGGGGCATATGATTCCTCCCAAAGACACCAACGATGGGGCACAATTCCTCTCACTGACACCAAAGATAGGGAACTATTCCTCCCAAAGACACCAACAATGGGGCACAATTCCTCTCACTGACTCCACAGACAGGGAACTATTCCTCCCAAAGACACCAACAGTGGGGCATATTTCCTCCCCAAAGATACCAACGGTGGGGCACAATTCCTCTCACTGACACCAAAGATGGGGCACTATTCCTCTCACTGACAACAAAGATGGGGCATTGTTTACTCCCACTGATGCCAGGACATTTTCTACTGTCAATGGTCCGACCCCCCTAAAGTCTAAAGGACCATAAACTGGCCTTTTGTTTAGAAAGTTTGGATTCTCCTGCCCCTCAAAATGAGCAATTAACCCTTGCAGTGCAGATGCAGCCCAAGTAGGAAGCATTTGCCCAGTCTCCTATCCCCTAGACGGCAACATTTTAACTTTGTAGCAAGTAACAAAGTGAGTGGATTCAGCAGTGGGCTGATCTGTGCCAGACATTTGTTAACACAGCTAGAACTGCACAGGAGCCAGGGTTTACATGATTGTGTCATCTTGGAGCCTGCTTCTCCGCCTAGGAAGTAGATGGTCACCCTGGATGATGCCCGAACAAACATGGCACCATCCTTCTGGAGAGGAAAGCATATGAATACATTGTCAGGGGGGAGTACTGCTGAAAAGAAGTAGACTCTGGCTCTGGCAATGTGAGTACTGTAGTTTGGTGCGGCAATCCTGGCATTACAGAGATTTCAGTACGTTGCAGTAATTCTTGTAGTGAGTGTACAGTGTCATACAGAGCACTCTCTGACCTCTTTTGTAGATTCCAGGGCAGGTCCAGGGGAATTGTCCCAGGTTCTCCCAGCACCAAAAGCATCGTTCATGTTGTGTAGCCACAGGAAAAGTTTGGAGAGTGTGGTGGGTCCAGGGGCGGACTGACCATTTGGAAAACGTGGAATAGACTCCCTCAAGAGTTGGTTCTGGCCATCTCCATGGATTGCTGTAGGAAAGTCCTGGATTCTTTCTTGGATACACAGAATCAGGGGCGGACGGACCATTTGAAAACTCGGACACTGCCCGAGGGCCCGGGGTCAGTAGGGGGCTCCATGAGATGCCCCTGGTACCTTTTTCATAGGCTTTTTTGAGTTTGGGCAAGGACACAGGGGCCCCATGATCCCCTATTGCCCGGGGCCCCAAGAGTTGTCAGTCCGCCCTTGGGTGGGTAACAGGCACATCATGTACTCCTTCCTAAAAAAAAAAAAACACCAAAAGTGCCATGCAGCCACATACATGACCCTCAGATCACAGGAGATTCTCTGGGAATGCCGGAATTATCCTTTTTTTTTTAATAGTTTTTCTATATAACATGCAGAAATCAATGAATAAATGAAAAGTTTTTGAAAAAGAAAGGTAACTTTAATCCACCCAATATAAACAGCAAGCGCACGTAACGCCATCGAAACAAAACGTTCCGGAGTACAACTAGGAACTCTGATCACACCTTTAATAAACAAAGAAATGTTATAAAAAAACGAAACAAAAGCAAAAAAATAGAAACGTTTGCTGTTCTGTCTCAAATTCTGCTTTATGTATGGACACACCTCCTTAGACTCTTCTATGGGGTTTACTTACTAAAGCTGGAGATTGCGAAATCCGGCTCACTTCTGCATGGAAACCAATCAGCTTCTAACCTCAGCTTGTTCCATTAACCTCCCTGGCGGTCTAACTAATCAATATTTTTGAACGTCAAAGCGGTACATTGTTTTGCATGGAAATTTGTTGTTTTATATTGTAGGCTGTAATTCTTAGGAATAACTCACTGAAATCTGTCCGAACAAGAGTCTAGTAAACATCCCGGGAATGATAAAATTTGAAACATGAAATCATAAATTATTCTATAATAAATAATTCTAAAAAATATAAATAAATAAATGTAATTCAATAATGTAATCAAACCAAAAACACTGAAATGTGAAATAGAGCGCCAAGTTGGCACATCGCTGAGCAAAGTCGCAGAATCGTTTTCAGTGTCTGATGAGGAATTTCCCCCCACCAATCATTATCACTCAATTCTGCAAGTGGTTCTGATTTACTATCGCTGTTCTCTAGCCGCTCTAAAACCGCGTCTGACCTAAAGGGGCGCTTTTTGGACGCCATGGACGTTTCTCAGTTTCCAGGCAGAAAGGACAGTAAAAATGCAGGCAGGGCGCCGGACAAAGCACTCGGGACAAAATGTATGTGAAATGGTTTGATACAGGAATGGAATCCTAGCAGATGACAATGTATTGTGTGTATGTCGTGTTTTTACTTTTTTGAATCTCCTGCCGGTTCCGCGCCCCCTGCGTACCAACGCTTGCAGGGAACGGAACCCGGAAGACGGATACTGGCATCGGCCGGAGGACACAGTGGGAGGACATTGCGGGATCGCAGGACAAGGTAAGGATCGGGGATCACAGGACAAGGTAAGGATCGGGGGATCGCAGGACAAGGTAAGGATCGGTGGATCGCAGGGCAAGGTAAGGATCGGGGGATTGCAGGAGAAGGTAAGTATTGGGGGATCGCAGGGCAAGGTAAGGATCGGGGGATCACAGGGCAAGGTAAGGATCGGGGGATCACAGGACAAGGTAAGGATCGGGGATCGCAGGACAAGGTAAGGATCGGGGGATCGCAGGACAAGGTAAGGATAGGGGGATCGCAGGACAAGGTAAGGATCGGGGGATCGCAGGACAAGGTAAGGATCGGGGGATCGCAGGACAAGGTAAGGATCGAGGGATCGCAGGGCAAGGTAAGGATCGGGGGATCCCAGGGAAAGGTAAGGATCGGGGGATCGCAGTGCAAGGTAAGGATCGGGGGATCGCAGGACAAGGTAAGGATCGAGGGATCGCAGGACAAGGTAAGGATCGGGGGATCGCAGGGCAAGGTAAGGATCGGGAGATCACAGGACAAGGTAAGGATCGGGAGATCACAGGACAAGGTAAGGATAGGGGGATCGCAGGAGAAGGTAAGTATCGGGGGATCGCAGGACAAGGTAAGGATCGGGGGATCGCAGGACAAGGTAAGGATCGGGGGATCGCAGGAAAAGGTAAGGATCGGGGATCGCAGGACAAGGTAAGGATCGAGGGATCGCAGGACTAGGTAAGGATCAAGGGATCGCAGGACAAGGTAAGGATCGGAGGATCGCAGGACAAGGTAAGGATCGGGGGATCACAGGGACAAGGTAAGGATCGGGGGATCGCAGGACAAGGTAAGGATCGGGGGATCCCAGGACAAGGTAAGGATCGGGGGATCGCAGGACAAGGTAAGGATCGGGGGATCGCAGGACAAGGTAAGGATCGGGGGATCCCAGGACAAGGTAAGGATCGGGGGAACCCAGGACAAGGTAAGGATCGGGGGATCGCAGGACAAGGTAAGGATCGGGGGATCCCAGGACAAGGTAAGAATCGGGGGAACCCAGGACAAGGTAAGGATCGGGGGATCCCAGGACAAGGAAAGAATCGGGGGAACCCAGGACAAGGTAAGGATCGGGGGATTGCAGGAGAAGCACTATAGAATTATCCCGAGTCACACTCGGGATTACCGCTAGGGAGGTTAACCTTTGGCAATACAACCTGGAAGCTGATTGGTTTCTATGCAGAAGTGAGCCTGATTTTGTACTCTCCAGCTTTAGTACATAAACCCCAGTCTGTCCCAATAATATGGTCTCCTGCTGACTTAGCAACACCCACAGGCAGCTTAACTCTTCAATAAGTCACAGAAGTTGAATCCAACACATTTTTTCATCATCTAGTTGCAGTACAGAGGATGTTTTCCAGTCTTTTGAAGTGCAAGAAGAAGAACAGTTTCCTAAGCCTTGTCTCTGTGAATGACTAACACTAACTGAGGGAACCTGGAAGAGGTGGGGATGGTAGACCTACACAGGAGGGGAAGAAAGAGGAAGATACCAAAATCACATTAGTAATGGCATTGCAGTGACCCAGAACCAAAACTAGATGTCAGCATACTAAAAAAAATAGTAACTGCATGCAGTTTAATTCAAGACATAAAAAACACCTGAAATGGGGCAGGACAGAAAGGTTTCTTCACAGTAAGAGCTGTGAAAACGTGGAATAGACTCCCTCAAGAGTTGGTTGTGGCCAGCTCAGTGGATTGCTGTAGGAAAGTCCTGGATTCTTTCTTGGATACACAGAATATAACTGGATATAACATTTATAGGTGAAGTTGATCCAGGGAATATCCGATTGCCTCTCGGGGGATCAGGAAGGAATTTTTTCCCCAGCAGGAGCAAATTGGATCATACTTTGCTGGGTTGTTTGCCTTCCTCTGGATCAACTGTGGGTGTAGGATTATTATTTATTTTTTTTTTATGTTTGAACTGGATGGACTTTTGTCTTTTTTTCAGCCAGACTAACTATGTAACTATGTAAATAATTGCACTCACATGCTCTCTATAGTGTGAAAGTCATATCACATCCGCCCAACGCCCCATGTGCTGAAGTGCAGGGCACCTTCTCCTGTGACCTCTCGGCATCAGCTAATGGATCTGTAGCTGAAAGTGTTTCCCAATCTCCCAGCGGTGATTGGAGGGAGAGAAAGCAGACCGCCAATCCCTCTGCAGGGGAACCATTACATGCGTCGGGGAAAGAGAGTGGTGCTAGCCCTAAGGTTTCTCAACTCCAGTCCTCATGGACCCCCAACAGGTCATGTTTTCAGGATTTCCATTATTTTGCACAGGTGATTTGATCAGTTTCACTGCCTTAGTAATTACCACAGCTGTTTCATCTGAGGGAAATCCTGAAAACATGACCTGTTGGGGGTCCATGAGGACTGGAGTTGAGAAACACTGCCCTAAGGCAACCTGTACTCAGAGAGAGCCCAGAGGGAACATGCTTGTTGCCAGTACCCTACCCTCACTCACAGCCATTCCCACATGGAAGAAAAATATATATGAAATATATTTTTAAAATATTCTTCCAAAATATATTGATATATATTTGAAATGCTACAATTTTGGCCATATTCAATATATTTCAAAATATATTTCAATAAATATAAATATATATATATATATATATATATATATATATATATATATATATATATACATACAAAGTATATACTGCATGTTGAAATGCGTTTTTTATATATTACAAAATATATAAAAAATATTTTTCACAATTTTCTTCAGATTTTTTTTAACATATAAAAGTAATTTTAACATATATTTTTACATATATTTGTAAATGCATTCCCAAAATGTAGATTTGTATTTTTAAAGACATACAGTATATTTGAAATGTACATTTTTAAATATTTTTCATATATTTTGTAATGAAAAGGCATTTCAGCATGCAGTATATATATATATATATATATATAGAGGTTTATTTGCCTTCCTCTGGATCAACTGTGGGTATAGGATTATAACTTTTTTTTTTATGGGTGAACTGGATGGACTTTTGTCTTTTTTCAGCCAGACTAACTTTGCAACTATATATATATATATATATATATATATACATATACATATACACACACACATATATATATATATATATATATATATATATATATACACATATTAGATTGTACGCCCCTCGGGGGCGGGGACTGATGTGAATGTGCAATATATATGTAAAGCGATGCGTAAATTGATGGGCGCCGTGTAAGTACCTGTAATAAATAAATAACAATAAAAAAAAAATATATATATATATATATATATATATATATATATATATATATATACAGTCAGGTCCATAAATATTGGGACAGTGACACAATTCTAACATTTTTGGCTCTATACACCACCACAATGGATTTGAAATGAAACAAACAGGATGTGCTTTAACTGCAGACTGTCAGCTTTAATTTGAGGGTATTTACATCCAAATCAGGTGAACGGTGTAGGAATTATAACAGTTTGCATATGTGCCTCCCACTTGTTAAGGGACCAAAAGTAATGGGACAATTGGCTTCTCAGGTGTTCCAGGGCCAGGTGTGTGTTATTCCCTCATTATCCCAATTACAATGAGCAGATAAAAGGTCCAGAGTTCATTTCAAGTGTGCTATTTGCATTTGGAATCTGTTGCTGTCAACTCTCAAGATGAGATTGAAAGAGCTGTCACTATCAGTGAAGCCATCATTAGGCTGAAAAAACAAAAACAAACCCATCAGAGAGATAGCAAAAACATTAGGCGTGGCCAAAACAACTGTTTGGAACATTCTTAAAAAGAATGAACGCACCGGTGAGCTCAGCAACACCAAAAGACCCGGAAGACCACGGAAAACAACTGTGGTGGATGAGCGAAGAATTCTTTCCCTGGTGAAGAAAACACCCTTCACTACAGTTGGCCAGATCAAGAACACTCTCCAGGAGGTAGGTGTATGTGTGTCAAAGTCACCAATCAAGAGAAGACTTCACCAGAGTGAATACAGAGGGTTCACCACAAGATGGAAACCATTGGTGAGCCTCAAAAACAGGAAGGCCAGATTAGAGTTTGCCAAACGACATGTAAAAAAGCCTTCACAGTTCTGGAACAACATCCTATGGACAGATGAGACCGACATCAACTTGTACCAGAGTGATGGGAAGAGAAGAGTATGGAGAAGGAACTGCTCATGATCCTAAGCATACCACCTCATCAGTGATCATGGTGGTGGTAGTGTCATGGCGTGGGCATGTATGGCTGCCAATGGAACTGCTTCTCTTGTATTTATTGATGATGTGACTGCTGACAGAAGCAGCCGGATGAATTGTGAAGTGTTTCGGGAATATTATCTGCTCATATTCAGCCAAAATGCTTCACAACTCATTGGACGCTTCACAGTGCAGATGGACAATGACCCAAAGCAGACTGCAAAAGCAACCAAAGAGTTTTTTAAGGGAAAGAAGTGGAATGTTCTGCAATGGCCAAGTCCATCACCTGACCTGAATCCGATTGAGCATTTCACTTGCTGAAGACAAACCTGAAGGGAAAATGCCCCAAGAACAAGCAGGAACTGAAGACAGTTGCAGTATAGAGGCCTGGCAGAGCATCACCAGGGATGACACCCAGCGTCTGGTGATTGTCTATGGGTTCCACACTTCAGGCTGTAATTGACTGCAAAGGATTTGCAACCAAGTATTAAAAAGTGAAAGTTTGATTTATGATTATTATTCTGTCCCATTACTTTTGGTCCCTTAACAAGTGGGAGGCACATATGCAAACTGTTGTAATTCCTACACCGTTCACCTGATTTGGATGTAAATACCCTCAAATTTAAAGCTGACAGTCTGCAGTTAAAGCACATCTTGTTCATTTCATTTCAAATCCATTGTGGTGGTGTATAGAGCCAAAAATGTTAGAATTGTGTCGATGTCCCAATATTTATGGACCTGACTGTATATACACATATATTTATTTATTTAAATATATTTGGAAATATATTAAATACGGCCAAAATTGTAGCATTTCAAATATATTTCAATATATTTGGGAAGAATATTTTTAAAATATATTTTTCTTCCATATGGGTTAGCAGTGTCCTAGGCTGGCCAGCAGGTCCACTATTGGCTGTTTCCCAGTTCTGTTCTCAGCAGCCGAACCGGAGCTGAGATAGGAAGATGGGCACTACAAGGCGGGGACAGCTGGTGGAGGAAGTTACATCCTCCTGGGATGTCTGTGCACCTTATTGGTTGCTAGGACGCTAGACGGACCTAGCAACCAATAGTTATGAGCAGTGGTTGGGATTTGGGAGGGTTAACCGCCACTGGTTAGGGTACAGGGTTTGGCAGCCAGTCCAAGCCTAGTGAGAGGGCTCGGGTAAGTGTTTGGGGATGTGTGTGTGTGGGGGGGGGGGGTCATTTGTTGAAAGGTTTTTTGCCTTAATGCAGAGAATACAGTAAGGTAAAAAATCTTTTGAGTTTAGAACCACTTTAACACCTTACTGCTGACAGGATCTTGTAGGATTTTTGATTTAGATAAAGGTTGAAAAACTATCACCTTGAAGGCCATCATCTCCATTGCAACGAGTCAAAACACAACATGATAGAGTTCTTATATCTGTTTTCTATCCATCCCTGAGTGGTCCCATAAGGCCAGGAAGTTCTATTTTGCTTCTGTATGCAGCTCATAGTTCATACTACCAGAAGGAACAACTCCCATTTCCCCAAGTCTAATATCTTGGATTTTATAAGAGATAAAACCTCATCCCTCTAATCTTCAGGAATGAGTAATGATCTGACTGTTTGGTGCCCCAAATTTGACTGACTATTCCCTCCTTTCTTGTTTCCAGTTGCAAAGTCTGGAGGGGTTCATTTGATGGCTTGTTGGCAGGTCCGTAACCATCACAAGTAC